TTACTAGGAAGCCAGGTTTCCTCTGACACTGGTGTACTTTTACTGTAGGATTTGACATGGACCATTTAGAGTGTTGATTACTGTAATTAGAGCCAAAGTCCCTAAAAGTTTTCTTGGTGGCTGTCAAGGAAAGGGGCCCCATCTTGTGGACATTTCCTGGAGCAAGTGCGGTCTGGCTGTGAAGCTGTTAACCACAGTGCTGTTAATGTAGTGCTGAAAACAAGCTGTGATAACCAGCTGCAGCAGATCTTGCCTAAACTGCAGTTATATCTGGGCTGAGAAGTGCAAAAACGACCTCGTTTCCTTCTCTCAAGGCAAACCATCCTCCAGTTTCTGTAGGTATGAAGCATCCTGCCTCAATACAGCTTTTAAAGGAGGACCTGAAGGACACTTTTACGTACTACGTGCAAACTCTTTACCTGCTCACTACTTGCAAACTCTTTACCTGCTCACTGAAGAACGGGAACGAGGAAAGAGGAGGGTGAGCTGAGATGAGGTCAGGGCATCCACCACCAGTGAGATCAACCAACCAACCCAAGGAACAATTTCTCAGGCACCCCAGAGGCCATGGCACATGTGGCCACATGCTGTGAGCAGCAGGAGAGCCTGGATGCCCAGAATAGTTGGAGACGCCCTGTGCCAGCCCTGATGACCCCTGTCTCGGTGGCTTTGGAGAAGAGTACAAGCAGGCTTTCATGTCTCACCTATAAAATCTGTTTACACAACATGCAGCTGCATCCCACACATGCTATCCCACACCCACGACACCTGGATCATAGGGACGAGTGTCACCTAAAGAGGCTCCCCACTGAATGCTATTTTTTAAGATGAGTAGTATTTGGAAAACAGTTTCTATCCCACTTCAAACAGGTTTTCACACCAATAATGCAAGCAGCATTTTTCACTTCAGGACAAACTACAGCAGACACTGCTTTTACAGCTTCCTCAAATTGCTATTTTCAAGACCTTCATCACCCTCGCCCCTTGTCTCCTACAAAAATGACATAGTGTTTGGTTCTGCCTTCACAAAGCCATGACACTTGGAGAGTTTTGCTCAGGTTATGTAGGCACAGGAGTGGTGCCAAGGGCCTGGAGCTCTCCTTGGCACACATGGAAACATTGTGAGACTGGGGCCTCAATGTTTGGCAATATAAGATCCAGCTGTTTGGCAATATAAGATCTGGGGACTGGGGCCTCAATGTTTGGCAATAAAAGATCTGGGGACCCAGAGATATCCTCTGGGGACATGGTAACAGATTTGTACTGAAAGCACCAGGTCAGGTCATCATGGGGATTTTAGGGATCAGGAGAGGTTGGAGGTGCCCTTGGAACTCACCTTGTCCAATCTCTCATGGGCCAGGACAAGACTACACCATTCCAAGCTTCACTCACGCTGAAGGTCTTGAACCTCTCCAAAGAGGGAGATTCTGTCACTTCTCTGGGCAGGTTGCCCCAGAGGAGTTGTGAAACATCTCAGAGCTCCATGGATCCCCTAGTGCCTGCTGCCTCCTCACCTTCCCCTGTGCCCTCCTGACACGACCTTCTCCACTGCGCCCATGGAGGGTGAAAACGGAGGCAGCCCCCCAGGCCAAACAACCCCAACTCTCTCACCCTGTCTCCACAGGAAAGGTGCTCCCGTCCTCTTACCATCTTGGTGGTCCCAAGGTTATTTTGGCCTACAACCTACTTCTGATGCCTTCATTCCTGAGAACCATGAAGGGAGCCATTGGCTAGATCTACTAAATTACTTATTTGTGTCAACACAGTGCCAGCCACCATCTTCCCAGGGCAAGACAGGAGCATTTCAGGACCTGTGTGTCCTTTTTGCAGTGAATTAAGCCTGCTAAGTCCTAGGACTGTGATCTAGGCATGTCTGTATGTACCCATTTTTCAGTCATCTCAGGCACATTCATCGCCTTTGCCTTTGGAAAACATTCTGTTCCTAGTTTGTCTGGAAAATTTGTGCATCCATTTCTATGCTGTCCCTAAGAATTAAAAAAGCAAAAGCTTAAGTGCTTGACTGTAATGAATCTAAAGGAAGACAAATCTAACAATCCCCTGCATGACTGTGGACTGTCTAAGTGCAAGTATTACATAAATAATTAATGTCTTCAGTCCTAACTCTTCATCATGCACGACAAGCGAGTAGACCAGGATTGTTTACTGGTACTGGAAGAACAAAAGAGTCTCAATTCCAGCATTTTTTGGATGGCAAATAGCAGCAAGTCACACTGATGATACATGTATTGTATTGTACCTTACAGTGTGCATTTTGATGTGCAGCAGTGACCTTGATTGCGTAATTTTGTCAGTCCTTGAGTTTAAGAGATAACCACTTGTGTCATGGATTTCAAGGTCCCCAGTACAACTGAAAAGAAAAATGGCTGTGTTTGCATACTTTAAAATGCCCTTATTTACACACATACACACACAAAATCCTTTCTTTTTCCACCTGAAAACTCATTGACTGCAAAGCTGTACCTCAGACTTGGGAAATAAGCAGCATAGATTCTCCTATTCATTAAAGTTCATGGATATAATATTTCCCATCTGAAGTGGTGTCACAATATAATTTTTATGATTGTAGCTCACCGTTGCCCAGAGATGGCTCACCATCTTCACCAAAGATGAAGGCAGCAAACAGTCTTAAGAGACAGTTCCTTGGCAAGGCAGGGCAAGGCAAGGCAAGGCAAGGTAAGGCAAGGCAAGGCAAGGCAATGCAAGGCAGGGCAAGGCAAGGCAAGGCAAGGCAAGGCAAGGCAGGGCAAGGCAAGGCAATGCAAGGCAGGGCAAGGCAAGGCAAGGCAAGGCAAGGCAAGGCAGGGCAAGGCAAGGCAAGGCAAGGCAGGGCAAGGCAAGGCAGGGCAGGGCAAGGCAAGGCAGGGCAAGGCAAGGCAGGGCAGGGCAGGGCAAGGCAAGGCAGGGCAAGGCAAGGCAGGGCAGGGCAGGGCAAGGCAAGGCAGGGCAAGGCAAGGCAGGGCAAGGCAAGGCAAGGCAAGGCAGGACAATGCAAGGCAAGGCAGGGCAGGGCAAGGCAAGGCAGGGCAAGGCAGGGCAAGGCAAGGCAAGGCAAGGCAGGGCAATGCAAGGCAAGGCAAGGCAGGGCAAGGCAGGGCAATGCAAGGCAAGGCAGGGCAAGGCAAGGCAAGGCAACTGCTGCCAAATCCAAGCTTTCACTGTCAGGGTTCTATTCCATAAAGAGACAAGGTTCCCCAGATTTCTAATGGCACAGTAGTGATATTTCTTTACACACCCACACAAGATGATTGCATATGGATCAGACTGTGTCTGGGTAATAGAAGGTGCAAGGAAAAGGCTGCTGCAATGTCAGTTCTTTTGCAAGCAACAGAGTGTGAGAAGAACTCCTGCTCATGTCAGAAGGAATAATTATCAAAAATCAGGACCTCACACACAGAAATGGCACCTTTCCTGTAATTAAACAGGACCAGGTACTGACATATTGGATAAGGACTCTAAAATATTTAAATGCATTAATACAGCTGGGCATGCAACTCTGAGAGACTGGACACTGCTGGAACTAGAAATGGTAGCTATACTTGTTCTTTTCTATATCTTTTCTGTCTTTGTCTCTTTCTTCTAATTCACTCTTCTTGGAGTTTTGAATTATTTAAAATTAGATGGGTTTGGAGTTTGGCAAGTTGAATAGACAAGTGAATAACATTTTGTGAGATGTTTTATGTTAATAGAATGCTACTCTAAACCTCTTGCCAAAGTTCTATGATTTTCTATAGCTGCCAATGAAGTTTTTTGTTTTTTTTTTTATTTTGGCCTCTTGATAATGTCTTGTTGGTATTTCTCCCATGCATCTAACTCAGAGTACATAAAAAGCCCTTTTAGACGGCTCATCAAGCAAGTATTGTTTAACATAGTCGGTGTTTTGAGGTGTGTGGACAGCCAGCATGCTGTGACCATATAGTTACACTGACAGGATAACAATGTGTGAAACTGCCAGACTGCCTGATATCAAAGGGAAAGTCATATTAATATAGCTAGCTAGCCTTAACTTATGGCAACATTAACAAGGTGACAGGGTGAGAAACTGACAGATGAAGAAAATAAAAAGGGCGATGGGTTCCTTAGAGAATCTCTGAGTAAACACTAATTGCCAAGTCATTACCAAGGAATGAAATTCAAAAAACACACAAGGGCAGAGTGTACATGGGGATGCTTTTTTTTTTTTATGTATTATGTTATTGGGAGGATATGAGGGTGATAAAGGGGAAGAACTTGAGAGAGGAACAAGGATATAATGTGCAGCAAAAATAAAATTGGGATTGCATGAGCCCTGTGCCTGATTACCACAATTTCATCATGACATAAAACCCACTGTTTCTGCAGTGTTCATGTCTGGATTACTTCTGCAGGAGGGACTGTTTCTATTTTTCCTTGATGTTGATGAAGGAATACCAGAAATACCCTTCTGAATATTGCCAAGGGAATATCTGGAGGGTGTCACTTAATAACATCATTTCTTCCTAACTCCATAGTATAGCCAAGTGCTTGTTTCATGCACGGGGAATTCTGCCCACTGCAGCTGAGAAAAATACTTTGTAGGTAATGAAAGAAAATGTCTATATGCAAATCCAGGGTACTTCCATGTGAACACCTGTGACCACCAGTCATCATACCAAAATAAAGCCTGCAATTACTCAAGTAAAGTCATGATGAAGTCATGCTTACTAGAAAAGAAAAATGGATAAGCACTATCATGAGTATCAAGGTCATAATATAAAATAATGAAGCAAATAAAAAGCAAGAAAACTTCAAAAGACTTTTTAATGCCTAATCATCCTTTAGTCTGACTTTTATTTCACAATCTTCTGTGAATATTGTCAAAAATAATTTAAAGATATAAATTAAAGCGTTCCTATTTTAGTTTATGTCAACTTTCAAAATGAGATCATTTTCCCTTGACTGTTTTCTTCTCTCAAATTAAATCAATCACTGATCTTGAAGCCTAGCATTTCTTTCTGCTATTGTCAAACAAACATTTTGATCCAATCAATCATATCCCTTCTAGCTTCTTCAATATAAGGTTTATCATCAGGTTTCATATCTTCTGGCTTCAGTTGTGCAAACCCATGAACTTGCCCAGGATAAACTTTAATTTTGTATGGAACTTTACAATACTGTTTCAGCTTGTCCTCCAATAAGAAGATCTGTAAAAAAAAAAACATTTTTCCATTACATTATGGGGTTTTTTTAAATCTGCCAAATTTGCAGTTTCTCATAGAGAAAATGCCTCTTTGGGTATAAGACTGACACTTTTTTTTGAAGTCTGGGTGAGTCTAAGAACCTCAACAGTTGCAGCAAAAATAGTTTGGTAAATCTCATTGCCACAAAGGAACAGGTGTGTTTCTGTTCAGACTCAGACTTGTAACCTACACTTGAAGCTCTGATCCTGAGAGACCATGGACCATAAACCTTAGTGACCATCAGTCCAAAACATTTTGATAGGCTTAGTAACAGAGTTTAAGAAAACATGGAGGGCTTTTTGTTTCTTTTGTTAACTGAACAACAAAAAGACATTGCTCTTGCACAATGTTTTGGTGATTAGTATGCAATTAGTATACAATGTGTTCATGTACCCATATACATTTGCTGGTACAGTTTGTGCCTATTGCCACTAAAAGTCAGAAAATAGAAGAATGAACGCTTATTTTGCCCCAAAAGCTTACTTCTACCCATTGTGCAGATTAGAGAGAGTATTGTAATTTATTTCACTTTTTTTGTCATTTTGGTTTGGGTTTTTTTATGAAGCCCTTTTTTTCAGTATAGAAAACTACGTATTTGAGGGTTGTTTTTTGTTTAATGCAGGAATTTTTACTGATGCAATCTGCACAGAAAGAAAGCTTCAGGAGAAAAGGGAGTGATTTCAATGTGTAACACATGCAGAAAAAATGCATTTGCCAAAAGTGTGCCCCTGGGAGAAAGACATGTTTGCCATAAAATGAGGACAGAGGGTGAAGGATTTGTTTTCCTCTGCAGAGACACATATGAGGTACAGATTAATATGCTGACTAATGCAGTTGGAAGAAAATATTGAATGACTTCTGCATTCCCAGAGCACACTGCCAGTTCTCCAGTCAGACCCTACCCTAAAAAACAAGCTGTACTAGAGGCTGTATATTATCCTTGTCACTGAAGAAAAAGAATTTATGCACAGAAGAGGGCACCAGTTTCCTACCCATATATTTATCCAGTCTCTCACATATGCTTACATATAACCCCTGGGTTATATCAGAACATAGATGGCAGCCAGGAGTCAAAACATCTGAGTCTATGAGTTGTTGTTGTTGTTGTCTCAGCTGAAGTTCATGCCCACTCTTTTGATGCAGTTCATTTTGTCTTCCTGTGGCAAAAGCAGTTAGTCATGAGACTAACTCATCAGAAAGTTCAGTTACTAAGCTGAAAATACTTTTTTTTTCCCCCATTCAGTGTCCAGATTCAATGGTTTAGCTACCTGATTTCTCACCCATAGCAGTAGCATACAAGTTTTTGAGATGCTTGGCTCATACCCAGTTGGATATTCCTGCCCAGTTTCACACTCTGCTTATCTAGCCACTCAGAGACTGATGACTGTTCTTTACTGTATTTCTTACCTCAAAAAAGAAGCTTTGAATAACCTAAACAAGATATAGGGGAAGTCGAAATAGAAACAGAACTGTCCAACCTGTCTAGTTTTTTTGTATGTGAAAGTGGTTTCTAACAAGGATTTCTGTGTAAGATAAATGAGCTACGGGAAAAGAAGTCTTTCCAGAACAACAGCTTACCTGATCCAAAGAAATAGTGTGGTCTTTCTCACCAAAAATGAAAAATGTGGGATTTAGTAAACGGTATCTTTCTTCAGAGTCTCTAACTATTCCTGTAATGTTTTGAGAAACAGTCCATTAGTGAGGTTAGCGTTACAGAGAGATAAATGGCAAATTAAAAGAGAACATTTCTATTTAGGTTTACTCATTAGGTACATTACTTAGATGAGGACACTGGCTATGTGGATGGAGAATAAGCATTTGGAAAGCATATTTCCCTGCTCTCCTAAAACAAGGAATGAAATTTTTTTTGTTTACAGTATCCTTAATATTTTTGTACCAATATAGCTTATGTCTGAAATAACCATAATTAAAATCTGCAACTCACCTTTGAGTTGAGTATAGAAATTGTTACAAAGCAATAAGTAGAATTACAAACAATGCATAGTCATGTGAACCCAAGTAAGTTTTCATGTTCTACACTACCATAGAGGGACACCCCAGCGGCTAATTGAGGATTTTTCAGCATCAAGTGATGTACTGCCATTCCACCCCAGGAAAACCCAGCGATACCAATCTTCTTTGCACCGCATTGTTCCTTTAGATACTTCAAGACAACATCAGCTTCCCTAAGACATATAAAGAAAAGTAAACTAAGGAATCTATTGCAGAGCCAATACTTGACAATTTAAGAAGTAAATTAAAAGACATACATGGTATTTTTTCTGTGTCTGCACCCTTAGTTGTTTAAAACAGAGATTACTTTAAAAAGCACATTTCAGGCTAGAGCAGTGGCTTCTATTATTAAATGAGAGTTAACATCTCTGGTCCTAGTTTAGGGAAGTACAGGTGTAGGCACTTAAATACTTACCTGAATTGTCACCTGCTCCTTTGTTTTCAAAATTAGTAAATTTTTATTTGAATCACTTTGTCTAGGACAGGACAACTAAAGACAAGACATATCTGCAAGTAGAACAACATCTTGCATTATGGACTGTAGGAATAGATAAGCTTCACTGTACTATCTCTACAGAGTTCACCAATTTAGATAAAGATTTTTCCTGTCATTCCTGTTACATGAGTTAATACTAAAATATCTTACCAAGCCTACATGCAAGAATGTTATGCTAAAATAGCATTTACTCAAATTATATTGTCAGTAACAACAATGTTTAAAAAAAAACTTTTGCATGAGGTGCAATGAAAAAAAACCGTGAAAAATATTTTTATTATTGTAGGTGAGAGCAAGTAATTTTTTTTTAAATTGCTGACTTCTGAGGTCTCAATAATTTTATCTTCTTCATTGCCTACAGAGTTTTAAATTAAGTTTAAATGCAGAGTTCATAAGCTATTAACTGCATTTTTGAACATGAGGTAGAGTTGTATGGTCATTCAGGTTTGTTTAGGCTGACCAAAAAAAACCCAGTGTGACAGTGACATGAGGAGGACATTATGTCCTAGGCCTGTGGCCATGCTCTCTCAGTTTTGGTTTGTTTGAAAGGATACTAAGAAGGCCATGGATAAGTTGGGTTCTGTGTTCTCTGAAAGAGCAATGGATCTGAACTGGAATGTTCACCTACAAGTGATCCCTCAGAAGACAGCAAAGGCATGTCCTGAGATCTTAATTTTTTAAGACAGTGCCCACATATCTGCTCTTCTTTGGAGGGGGATTTTTTACAATTGCTAGTAATTTGTCTTAAAAAATTTGGTCACAGCTTCTGGAATTATATGGTCAAAATATTTGCTGAGAGACATTGAAGATAGACTGGGGCTGCTGAATATCTGGACAGGGTCAGAAGAATACTTGTGGCTTGCAGGATGGTAGCTGAGCAATAGGGTGTCACCATTGCCTCACTATCATCTGAAGTTTTGAGCTGTGGTGAGAGATGCTGAAGAAGCAGCAATACCTCCCATAATTCAGAGAAGTTTTGTTACAGAAAATAATCCCTCTATGTCACTCTGAAAAAAACAGTACAGTTCATCAGATGTTTCTTAGGTTTTGGTCAGTCTAGCAAATTTTTATGTAGTGCTGCTCAGGAGAATCTCGTCAGTATCTATCATAATCTGCAAGGCAGAGAGCAAGATGGGCATGTGACAACTGGCAGATAACATCTGCAGTTGTAGAAGAATTTTCCTCTTTATCTTGAGGAACTGAGTGCAGAATCAGCACTTGTGGGTGAGAGTGCTGGGTATTTTGTAGCCTGTGAAACACTGTGAGCCTGCATGGCCAGTATAACATAGTCAGAAAAGGGCTCAGGAACACAAGATGCGGACAATAACAGAGTGATGGGCAGAGCAGATGATCCTATTCAAATCTCAGACAAGACAGTGCCCAGAACCACAGAAGAATCACCCAGAACAAGAAACTGTGGTTGTGCAGCCAGCTTGCCCTGCTGTGAGGTGCTATTTCTAACATTTCATATAAATTCTCCTTGTTTGCTAGATGCTTCTTAAAGTTCAAGTACAAATATGTATCTTACTTGTCTACTTTCATAGGATCATGATTTTTCAACCAGTCAGGAAAGTCAGCCCAGTGATCAGTAGATGTCCAGGGTTTTGTCCCCTTGAAGAAGTCTGGGCAGATGGTTCTGTGTGAGATATGGAATTCAAGTCAATTTTCATTAAAACTGTCTAAGTGTCTCTTAATATCTTCTAGTCCAGAGTACACATCTACACGATCGCTGTCTGAATCATGTTTTACTTGTCCTATTCTGGTAATCAGCTAGCTAAAAGTATATGTCTTTTATGGAAAAAAAAGACACAAATTGTTTCCTTATTATTTCCTTAGACACACTTAATACAAAAATAAAGGGATTAAACAAACCTCCTGATTCTATATTAACACATATAGACCTCTTTGCTGTTACAAGGAAAAGCAAATGTTCAAAAGGTTTGGTTCTGAAAAGCTTACACAAATTAAATTAGATTCCACTGTTTCTCTTTGGGCCACCCATGTTGCTTCATAAGCACAAACACAGGCACTTCAAGACTCCTTGTGCCTTTGTGCTCAGCTAGCCATTTTCCTGAGTCAATTTTAGCATCTTTGGTGACTCCATGGAAATATATTGTCCATTTTCTTTTTTATTTGCTCAGACTGAAGTGTATGGTTGTCTGTTGGAAACATCATATGCTATGCCTGGCTTTGGGCTTGGTGGTCTATCAGTGCATTTAAGGGGAAGATAAGAAAGAAATTTGCTTACATATATCCATGACCTGCTATCAAATCGACTATGTATCTAATGTCTGGAAACTGCCATCCAAATACATCATGAACCACAATCACAGCTTTGTCCGTGGAAAAAGATGGTCTACAAACATATGCCTTAAGGTAGTCAATTTGTACTTCATGGCCAAGGCACCCATAGTGAGACCTTTCTCCAGTATTATATAGAAAAGGATCAGCCATTTGAAAACCTAAAAAACAAGAAGAATATAGCAAGAATGTAAAAATAATTTGTTAACAAAAATCATTTAGGACAAAAAGGCAAATATGGTCTTCTGAAAGTAGTTTAATAACTTCTGTAAATAACATTGACATCCTTGTATGAAGAGAGAAAGTAGAAAAAAGCAAAACCAATGTTCCAGTGAAGAATGCCTCTTCATCTATTATGTTATTAAGCTGAGAATAAAAAGAAATACCAAAATCAAAGTGAACAAACTACAAACAACCTGGACATGTAGGTCTTGACACTCATGTCACATTTGTTTTGCTGCCATGTGGCTCTGTGAGCATGGGTGTGAAGCACTATGGCTTCCCATGTCACTGTCTCCTGAGGTATGGGGCCATCACCCATGTCTTCATGGGGAATCCTGTGCTGGTTCCTCTGAGCTATTTGCAAGGACCACAGCACTCAACTGCTGCATTGAAGTGGGGTGTTCAGTGCTTCTCTTGGTGCTGGTGCCTGGTAGCTCATCTGTAGCACCGTCACTGCTCTTCTGAGAACAGGAGGACTGGGCACAGTTAGTGAAGAGCTGCAGGATGGATTTATAAACTAGATTCCAATGCCATGTGCCCCTATGCCCTTGAGAGGGATTGCAAAAAAACAAGCTTATGTGCAAGCCTCATTCAGAATATTTGAGAGTATATGGTTTTGTCCCTCCTGCAAAAGTAGCAATTAGAGACAATGAGCCAGTAGATGTGCTAGACAGATTAAAGTTGTTCTGACTCTCTGTGTCAGGAGCTTGGAATGGACTCTGTGCAAAAAGTAGATTACGATCCTGTAATTAAAAGTGGTGTTACAATGCATCTGTACAAGGCATCCAATTAAGTCTGCAGGGGCAGTGATAATAGTAGCACTTCCTAGCCATGTACTGACTTTGTGCTGACTTTGAAACTGTCCTTGGGCGTGCAGTACATAGGCACATACACTATGACTGTCTCCACTTCATCATTTCTACATCAACCTATTATTTTAGTTCGCGCTGTAACATGTACTTCATAAAACTATCTAATCTTCATGGAAGGGCAGCAAATTCCCCTAAAAATACATGCCTTCCTCAGCCCTCCATTGACTAGAGCAGCAGAGGGCTGCATTTCACAGAGTAATGGGTAATTTTACCTAGGCAATGCAGACACATTTGGAACCATGGTACGGACAGACTGAAGAACAGAGACTTGATGCCACAGAGACTCACCGCTTGCTTATGCCCTGCACAATACTTCCCAGTTTGCATGATTCACTCTGGCACAATAAAAGGATCCATATTTTATATGCATTTAGACTGCTTTATACCCAAATTTTATATGCATTTAAATTTATTAAATGCTCCTCAATGCATAGTGCAGACACTGTTCTTCTCCATCCTCTCCCAAGCCTGGGGCTGCTGTTACCAGATCTGGCAGGGCCAGCACTGAGTTTGAGCAAATATGCTTGATTACAACCATAACCCTGGCTAAGAGTGGTGTAGACATACGGGAACTGGGCAGACATGGCTTTACTGCTCTAATCAAGCTCATTCAGATAAATCCACAAAATGGATGATTTCTCATCACCAGTAATCCCCTGTGCTGATAAATGAGAATTGATTACATGTGTAATTTTCATCCCACCTTTCTCAACATCTGTCAGGCTTGGTTCTAGGAAGCACAAAGTAGCCTAATCTTCAGGATTAAGACCTCCATTGTTTTGGCATTACATGAAAGTGGAAGGTGTGTCACACGTGGGAGATTATCTCCTAGTTTAGGCCCCCCCATAATGCTTGAAATGCCTGAAAATGCTTGAGAGAGGTCTGTTCATACAAAAGCGCTTCCTACCTCTTTTTTTTATAACCTAAGATGAATGAGCTGTTTGAAGTAAAGGAGGCTGCTTGGAGAAGCCACCGGCATTCCCAAAGATAGCTAGCACTGCTGCCTTCTGAGATGGCAGCCACAGTCCTACTCCACTGTGGTATTTTGTTGAGAAGGGCACAACCTGTGTCCCCTTCAAGGAAGTGTTGCTTAGGAGTCACTAAACTCTGCAATAATTGTGAACCAGCCTCCTCCCTATCCGTTGGTTGCTTCCCAGAAACCATTTCTTTGGCCTGTGCTGACTGAGGCCAGGCCAGCTGGCTCCTTTCCAGGCACCAGGCAGCACAGAACGTTAGTAAATAGTCAGCCACACCTGAGCTGCTTAGAAGTTTGATGGGATCCTGTTCAGTCAGGAGATTTATTTACTCCCACCTGCTTTGTCCCACGCAATGTGGTGTGGCAAAGCAACGCGCCAGGATATTTCCTACTTTTCCAGTCTCACCTCATTCCCTCTTCCCACCAATTTCATCCACTACACTTTTCCTTTTCCTGCTTTCCCCATGGCACAGTTCCAAGTCGGCAGCATCTCACCTTTATGCCCTGCTCTGCATCACTGTGCTGCAGCACAGAGGGGATGCAGGGCCTGCTGGGAACAGGGGGAAAAGTTACTGCTGCTCATGGGGAAAACCACAGATATTGATGAGTCTTGTGACATCCTACTGCTCCTTGAGAGAAAGGCTTCTTAGACCTTCTCCTTCTATCCAGTAGTTTTGCCCTTCTTTGGGTGTCTTGATATCATTCAGCTTTCATGCAAGTAAGTTAAAAACTGAGGAGAGGTATTTACACACCACAAAGGTGGGCTCCACAAAACGTGGTAGGACAGACCCGAACTACTGCATTTCTGGGAGCAGCAAATCACATAATTATATTCTGCTGAGTCTTAGTTTTCATCAGGAAAAAACAAATCTCTACTTGAAAAGTGAGGTTAAAAATATTTTAAAACACAAACAGGTTAAACAGAGGCAAAGATCCTGCTAAAGACAATCTCCACTTCTCAGAAAGTGAGTATGAGCACGTGATCTTAAAGTGCTGTGCTGTTGGCAGGACCTTGAACTATTGATGCCAAGATGTGACATCTCTGCCCTTTTCCCGGGTCGAGTGATAACATTTTAAGCTACAGCAGCATTTCATTTCAATGCTAAGAGCTCAGTGGACCAAACAAGGAAAAGAATGGAAATTCATTACCATAAGGGTGAAAAAATATTATGGTCCTTTAATGTGAACTTGATACTTGATGAACATAAATTATCAGTGTCCTCAGAACTATCACTGTACCACAGTTTGTTGCAAAGACTCAAAATGAAATTTAGTCTTTCCCAAAGTTGACAGCCTTTATCTCCATCTTATCTGCCCCTTGATACTTGTCTTTGTGCATTTTTTACTGAAACCAAAATAATAGTCTCTCTTTAAAGGAGTAGGTTTTGCTGGTTGTTTCATGCCTTTTCAAAGAGCTATATCTACTTGCTTAGCAATTTCAGATTTTCCCTTTAAGCACAAGTAAAAGTAGTTATCCTTTTCTGCTGTCAACTCAGTCTGCATGGACCAGTTTGCCCTCACATACCTGGAGTGCAGGATCCTGTTTCAGCCCAGCTCACTTCTTCTGCTCAGTGAGACACCAGCTAGATTTCTCTAAACAGAAAAAGAAGAAAACCAGTTCTTGCTGACAGTTTTGCTCCTGGTGCTGCCCATCCAGTTTTCAGGTGCTCTTCAACTCTTCTGCAGATATTGGGATTGGGAAGTAAGTAGGAGAGGCTTCACTCAAGAGTCATCCCGAACGGAAGGGGTGGGGACAGATCATGCACAGAGGCAGTCTGCAGCAGGCTCCACATCAGTTGCTTTTACTCCACCTTTCATTTATTTATTATCTAAGGAGCTGAGAAGGAAAGATGCACCCAAACACTGTAATACACTATGATGTGTGTAATGCTGACAATGAAGACACTGCAAAGGTTTTAGACTTCAGTATTTATAACTGAGACATTTAGCATCAGTGGTGTGTTTGGTGATGCATTTTCTTGAAGAATATTCATATACTTTCTTGACTATAATAATTGTCATTAATGAAATTTGAGGTGAATTAAGATGAATCTGTCCTGGCAAACTTGCAGCTTAAAAAACTTACTAAGTCTCCCTAGCACACGCATTCAACATACTACAACCACACCCATAAGTATTCTCAACAAGTTGAAAAGTGTTCCAGGTTATTTGTGATTAGACTTGCATTTGACAAGCGAGAAAGACTGGAGTCTGTGGTGCCTCATTGAAATTTTCCATTCCTATTTCCACAACAGCACTGTATGCAAGGAACGTTAACTTAGCCCTCGGTCTGACATACACTCATTTTCTCTCTGTGTGTACACATGGTCTGGGTGTGTGCATGTTGGTGGTGGGGGGGGGGGGGTTATGCAAATGAGAGAGACAAAGAAAATTATAATGTAATTTCATGACAGAGGACAGTAAAGAAATTTTTATTCTTGGTGTATATGACAAACAAGCTCCCCAGTCACCCAGCAGATGCTCAGGAGTACTCTGTGAGGTAGCGACCATAATCTGAGGACTATGTTAAATAGGTGATAGATGGACTCAGTTCACCAAATTTCAGACATTTACAATGATGATGTCTTCATGTCAGCAAGGTGTCTACACCTTGCTGACTGGTGTCTACACCAATGTCATCAATATTTAGAGTATGACTCACACTCCATGGGTGTCTTTTTTTGAATGAAAATAGGTAGTCCCCTAGATGACCCAACTAGTGCAATAAGATTGCTATGCTGAGTGCATAATAACCCAGGCAAAAGGAGTCCTGCCTCTCTGTGCTCTGGCAGCTGCACACAACTCAAAATTAAGGTTTGTCGTGACCAGAAAGAGGGTGTTTGTCCTGTTACACCCGTCAGCAGATTTGCACATCAGGATTGTACAAGAAATCATTAAAAAGATTACTTGTGTTGCAAGGGAGCAAGTGGGAAGACTTGACTGAAAAGATCCGGTTTGTACTTTGATATTAATGGCATCTTGCTTGCCCTTGTGTAACCCCTCCCAGGTGGGTGTCTTGTACATAGAGCCACAAGACTGAAGTATTTCCTGCCTTGCCCCCATGGAATGTGGATTCATCCAAG